ATGTTTTACGTTAAATAGAGTTTGAAGGCTACTGGATAAGAACAAGTTAGGGAATTGGGAGGGAAAAAGAGTGGCAGAGAAGGGAAACAGCACTGAAAGGCAAAGAAAGAAATGGATGCTCATAGAGATGACAGTGTTTCTTTCCAAACAAATCAAGATATTTAGAGGAGAAACCATCAAAGGAAGAGGTTTTGGTGAGGGAAAAGGGAGAAGGTTGAAATGGGGCTTAGTCAGGGGAGGGTATTCTAGCGTAGGGCATCCAATTGGTCAGCAGCTCACCATGACACAATACTACCATACTTGCCTATTCTTACAAAAATGTAATAATGATTCAATTCTGTCAATGGAAACTTCCCTTAGAAACCCACAAGGATTCTTCAACTCTGCCCCACAAATTTACCCTATAAATTACACCTTCTATTGTGTCGTTTTTCACACAAGCTCCGATAATTTTCAAAGAGTGTCTTGCTTTCTAGCCATTGTCTATTTAGTTTCTTGTTCAATTCAATTCCTTTCTCAATCATTTTCTTTTTTTGAGGTATGGTCCTTAGACCCTTTTCTTTGCCATTTTTGTATCTCTTTCTATCTGAGATTAGCGGGTTGATTCTAGATATTGGGTGTCCTAATTAAGATGGGATTGATTAATTTCACCATCTAGGACTTTTTTGTTTGGATTTGTATGGTTTAAGGCTCAATAACATTTGATTTTGTTGTTTAGGATTTTTCCCCGCTGTTTGTTTTTAATATGATCTCTTTTATCCTTTTTTGTTTAATGTGACTGATCCATGTTTTTTTGTGTGAATTTTACTTGGTATATAGTTGAATCTTACTCGAATGAAATCCTTAAATATAACAAAAGATCATTTTTAATTCTGTAAAATTTATTATTTGAGAATCTCCAATTGTTTATGATTTTTCCTTGGCCTAATTTTTACTCGATATACATTAAATTTTAGTCAAATGAAGTCTTTTGATGTGATAAAAGATCATTTTAAAATTTGTAAAATCTTTTAGCTAAGAATCTCTAATTATTTATGGTTTACTACTGGGGCTAAGTCTCAATGACCAATCATTGTGAGGTGAGGTTTTTGATCTTTTGTTTCAGATTATTTATCTTAATTCATCTCAAAATCTTGATTATTTATTTATTTACTTATGGTTTGAGGCATATCCTTAGGCTCTTTTCAACCCCTTCCCCTCACTTTCCTCTGCTCATTATAAAATACGTATCACATCTCTATACAAACCACTTTACTTGAAAATAGATTGGTATTTGTGTCTCAAGACTAGATCACTGTTAACATCTTAAGATGATCCTTTTCCCATTTTCATATAATTCCATTTGATATTTAACCTATTCTATAAGTTTTGTTCGCTAGATAACTTAACTCTACAAGTTTTCAATCAACTTAAAAAAAAAAATTATAATACTTTATAATCTAGGGATAGTCTAATAAACCATAAAAGGGGTTTTGAGTTTTGCTTTGTCTGTTGCAATTTAGGACTGGAATTTTTAAAACATCAACAGGAGGAATTCTACTCTTTTTCCTTTTTATTTCAAAAGGATTCTCTTTTTGTGTATCTAGCCTATCATGTAATGTTTAAAAAAAAAAAAAATCAAAAAGCTACATTCTATGAGAAAATTCCCATATCTAACCTACTTCTTCCAATTTTCAAATCTCTTTAGACACCATATGTTTTATTAAATATTAATACTTTCAACTAAATGAATAGAGAATTGCAGATGTTTGCACAAGCACTTTGATCATGTTAGCAAATGGAGTTGTGCTTGGGGCTGGATCTTGAATACTAACAAGAAGCTTGCCACATCTATATCCTAAAGCTATAACACATTTTAGTTGGTTGTAGTTGCCCCTTTTCAGTTTTAAGACATATTTACTCGATTATGGGCCGAAGGTGTTCATTCTTTCATTTTCTTTTCTTTCTTCAAA